CCACTCGAGGCAAAGAGTTTAAAGCATGTTTGTTTCAAAATGTATCTCCTGGTGGTTTCTCAGGGGGGTCTGGCACAGGGGAGAACTGCGATTTAGGTGCACAACTGTCCATGCCCACCACAGTACCCTGGGCAATGAACAAAGGAGCAGTGGGGGAAAGAAAGGACCAACTGTTCTGGTGGCTTTAGGTATTTTGGTGGCATTGTCAGCACCAGAGCTTTAGAAGACAGTTCACAAGATGTTGAGGAGGTCTCTCATCAAATGTTTAAAAAAGGCTTATTTTTTGCCTACAAGATGTTAGTGTCTTTTCTTTTTTTTTGCTGTGGGGTGTCCAATCTATTCAGGTTTTCTCTGTAACGCACAATAAAATCTCAGGGAGAAAATGAGCAAGGGTCAGGCAGAAAGATTTCTCACGTGCATACATGAAGATAGAAATTGTGCTTTAGGAAAGGCAAATGTCATGGACACTGGAAACTCAGCATAGGTTCAAGAGGGAGGTTTCCCCAGTTAGATGCTACTAACAGTGTGTATGTTTCTGGAAAGAATCGGGGGAAGTGCTTTTAATAGATGAACAGATGAGACTGCTTTGTTGATAGTTTCCTTGGTTAGTCCATTTATTCACTTTTTTTTTTTCCTGCAGTTTTATATCATGGCATCTATAGATGGCTAAATCACTTAGGGGCAATTTTTTGAAGATGTGTGGTTGCTTATTTTCTATCTATGAGCATCCAGATCCCTTTAAAAAAATCCCTTAGGCCAAGCTATTATGTTTTCTTCAATCTTCACAAAACATTATCTTTGTTCTTCTAAGTTATTAGCTTTTAAAAGTGCATTGTATCTCTCATGTCAGGCTTGAAATTAATGGCCAGCCAGGCACTTTTTCTAATCCACAAACATCCTTACCCAAGGAAGAGCATGTTACCAAGTAGTCTTTCAAGGTCATACCTATTGTTCAAAAAACTGCTACTACCAAACATGATTCTTTTCACGTTGCTGCAGTATGTGCATATTGCCTGACTACTATGGGTGTTATATACTGTCCTTGTTGAGAGAGGTGATATGAGCAGAAGATGGGCAGTTTGTGGCTAACCACTTCATATTTGTTGTTTGCCCTGTCTCACCCGAGTTGGTTTTGACATTTATGTAGTGTTGGCCAGATCTGAATCTTTTTGGTATGATAGAAAAAAATCAGACAAGAACTGACCCATGATTGTCTTCCATTATTAGTCCTTGTTGCCTCTGGCCCTCTCTGCACTACTCCTGACAATCACAGGGGGCCATGGCCATGTCAGTAGGCATTGGCCATGTTGGTGGCCAGACCTTGCCAGCAAGAACAGTAAGGGAAACAGCCCAACCTTAGCAATTAGATATGAAACTGGCAACTTTATCACACATTACTTTGATGATTACGTTCATTGCTCTTTTACTTTTTTACCTGAGAGCCGGCCGCAGAAACACCAGATGGCTACAGTCAGGGTGGGATTTGGAGAAGCCTGTGCAAGCTGTTATGAGACAAGGCATGCTCAACTTCCCATTAGCAACAGAGACATCTTGACCTTTGGTATTTTGTCAGAAGATGTTTTTGTTTATTTTTTTAATAACTAAATCTGAGCCACTTATTTAAAGAGATACAGTTATTTTTGGAGTGTCCTGCAAAATTATGAAAGGACCTGACACCAGCCATTTCCTCTTCTATACGCACTTATACCTGGCCAGCATTGCTTAGTGTGTGGACAGCTCTTCAGGTTGAAGAGCGGTCAGTCAAATAGGCTAATGGATATATAGATGTGCAGGTAGAAATGAAAGCCTGGCAGCTGGAGAGAGCCATGGGAGGCCATGCCCCACCTTCCGGTGCTGCACCATTGACAGCTCAGACCCAGCATGCAGAAAAAGCAGCTGAAGGACAGGACAGTTTGGAAAGGGAGATGTTGAGTGTTTCTACCATCTTTTTTTCTTTAAGGCTTTCACATTCCTCTTTTCAAGTGTTTTTCTACAGTTGCCAGAACTGGAGAGGGTGACATTGGAGTCACTCATTCCTAGACCTGGGGCTTGCAGTAAGCAAAATGGCGAAACTGCAAGAGACTGGGAGTTGGCTTTACTTGGCAAAACTTCTTCTGTCAGTCTTTGTGACCAACTTGAGTTGCACCAGTGATTATCAGCCTCAAAATCTAGCATAGGTCCCTTTGGTAAAATTTTTTGTTTTTTAATGGAGTCAGTGGCAAAACTTGTAATACCATTAAAATCAGAAGGACCAGTGCTCTGATCTTAAAGTTTGGCCTCCTGACTCAGAGTTTTCTTTGTGTGCTTGTGTGTCAGTCCCACTGCTAGGTCTTGCTTCAAGCATAGCACCCCCCTTGCTTCTCTTCCCGCAACCCTCTCAGGTGTCAGCGTTGCCAGTAATAATAAAACCAAAGAAATAATGTGATTCTGTTGATTAACACGAAGGTTTACAAGGTATCTTGATCCTGAATGTATAACTGGGGCCATGAGAGCCTTTGTTCCTTCTACAGTAAGACTGTGATGAGTCTGAAGAGCAACTAAGCTGGCATTCATGCCCAGAAAATGAAACAGCAGTTGTTTGCATTGCTTTATTATAGACAAAATACTAAACCCAAAATCTGATTGATTAGCATTGTGAGAAGTGTACAGTCTAACCAAAGTCAAGTTTAATATTTTCTTGGAAGTAATGTGTTTTACATCAGCAGCAAGTGGATAAAAGCTTTCTGCAACTTGTTTCGTTTATCAGAAGAGAGCATTTGATGCTCCTGCTTTCTCCATATTAGGTAAAAGCTTTAATAAAACATTCATAAATTTCCATAGTTATTACTGAATGTCTAGAGAAACTCATAGATGTTTTGTAGTCTTATATACTGTGTATGTATATTCTTTACTCCACCCTAACCCAATTCCTTTCTGTATTTGAGATCACTTGGTCCCATGAAGACAAGGTGATAAAAACCAAATAAACAAAAGAGCCTAAAAATCCCAAACCAAACCAAACCCGTTTGCTAGCAATGGGCTCATAGAGAAAAAGAGGCTGTTTAAGCTGTATTAGACAAAGCATTGCCAGCAGGTCGAGTGAGGTAATCCTGCCCCTCTGCTCAGCACTGATGAGACATATCTGGGTGCTGGGTCCAGTGCTGGGCTACCCAGTACAAGAGAGATAGGGGCTTACTGGAGCAAATCTAGCAAAAGGCCACAATGATGAATAAGGAATTGATGCACCTTTATGTGGGGAGAGGCTGAGAGAGCTGGGACTGTCCAGCCAGGACCAGATGTGGTCCAAGGGATCTTACTGATATATGTAAGTACCTGATGTGGGGGGAAATAAAGAAGATGGAGCCAGCCTCTTCTGAGAGGCAGCCACTGACAGTACAAGAGGCACAATTTGAAATACAGGAAATTGTACTTAAATGTAAGAAAAAGTTGTTTATTTGTTTGTTTGTTTCCTGTGAGAGTGGCCAAGCACCAGTACAGGCTGCCAAGAGAGGTTGTAGAGTCTGTATGCATGTTGATACTAAAAATCAGCCTGGACATGTGCCATAGGCTCTTGTTGCCCTTGGGCTGGACTGGGTGATTACCAAAGTTCCATGCAAACCTCAGCTATTTTGCAGTTCAGTAGTATTTTTGATACAGCCTGTCTTATGGTTATAAGGCACTGATCCTGCACATTGAGCAGCTTAAAGTGAGAGCAGGCCATCTGTCTGTTTCTACTGCAGAACTGGGCAGCTATTAAATGATGACCTGTGCTCACTAATGACATCAGATGGATTTTTAACATGTAAAAGAGAAGGAGAATGCACTGTAACTCACTATTAGCTATGGGTTCGCCCGAAGCCGATTTCCCATGTTAAAGCACTTAAAAGCAAATACAGAATTTATGATGTGTTGGTAGATTTTAAATTTGAATAGCGTCCAGTTGTTGTAATGGCTAATAATGTAAATTATCTGAGTCAGCCTCAGAGTAAAGCAGTAATTATATCCTGCCTAGACACACGTTTGTTTTTTTTTCCCCCTTTTCCATTAATATTTCATCCCCCTGAAGAGATGTTTTCAATGTATTATGTGCACCAGCATACTGCACTCGTGGTATTCCTGGGCGTCATTTACAAAGAAGCCCGAAGACTGTACCGCTGCTGTGCTGCCTTGACGCTAGCTTCGAAATTGCTTGGAGCAACAACAGCAAGTGTCAACAGGGAGCCGTATTAATTATTTGGAATGTGTCTCGTAAGAGGAATCAACTGTTTTTATTGCAGCACGAATATTACTTGAAATGGGAAGGTTACTCTAACTGTTATCGTAATCTATGTGTCATTAACTTTCTGTGTTTAGAAAAAGAGATTAACAACCCTGTAAATTGTTACAGTAAATAGATGAATTATAACAACATCTTATTGTAAAGAAAAAGTTTATTTATAAGTTTATATTTAGAAGTTTCTTAATATAGTTACCTCTAAATTACTGGAGAAGAATTAAGTCTTTAGCAACTGGGAAACTGCATGGTGGTTTTGGGAACCAAAAAGCTTCCACCCAGGTGAAAGCAATGCAGGCTCTGAAACTGATATCTGCGTCTTCTGCAGGTGGGAAAAAAAAAGCATTTGTACTTCACACCATGCTTCCTTCAAAAATTGCTGTGACACAGAAATGCTTCCCTCTTAGAGTGAGATTAACAGATTGAATGTCCTTGTGTGGACTTGGTTGTCTTCTGTAGCATATGGCCTTTTGAGAGAACATCATGCAAAATATATATGGTAGTTGTAAAGGAGGTATAACTAAAGGTCAGCATAGTACCCATGTCTTCATGGAAATAACAAAAGAAATGGGAGTGTTTTCAGCCTTTCATCAGGGATCTCCAAAATGGAAGCTCATTGTGAAAAGTACACAACCAAACAAAATACTTGAAAATCTGTTTTGAATCCAATGCCATTGAAATCCTTTATGTTTCATTATAGCCCTGATAGATAGGAAACAGTGAAACTAAAACACTTATTTGTCCACAGGGCAGGCTCACCATGGGCAGGTCTCCTACATTGCCCCACCAATCCACCTCGATTCGGATCTGGAGAGGCCGCCATCCAAGGGTGAGTCGGTGACACAGTCTCCATGCACATGCATTGCAAAAACCTGCCATAAGCATGAGTGTACCTCACTTTTCCATAGAGCCTCCATGGTAAAGTTATCACCCTCCATCCAGAGACACTCTCAGGAGCAAATTAACTCCTGCAAGAGGACTGTATGAGAGATGACTATGTCTCATGTGCCCCATTACATAGCTTTGAACATATCAGCTTGTTCACAAGCTATTTTGCTGTTCCCATTACTTCTGGAGGGACAGGTATAGGTATACCTTTGGACCTGCCCTCTGCCTTCCTCTTTTCCTTCCTAATGACAGTGCACAGGCACAGGGGACTGGTGGCCGGAGAACTAAAAAAACCCAAACCAAACCAACCAAGCAAACAAACGAAAAACAACAAACACCAGTGATGCACAGTACAGTTGCTCACCCACCCACTAACTGATACTCAGATGCCCCGAATAGCGATCAGTCCCTTCCAGGTAACTCCACCCAGTTTATATACGTGACGTGCTGTGGTATGGAATACTCCTTTGGCTGGTTTGGGTCAGGTGTCCTGTGTCTGCTCCCTCCTGGGTTCTTGTGCCCCTCCTCACTGGCAGAGTGTGGGAAACTGAAAGGTGTTTCATCAGGGTAAGTGCTATGGAGCAATAGCTAAAACATCAGTGTGTTATCAGCATTGTTCTCAGACTAAAGCCAAAAACCAGCACTGCACCAGCTACTAGGAAGAAAATTAACTCTGTCCCAGCTGAAACCAGGACATCTTTGCAGTGATTATTGTCATTCTGCCCTAACACTATAAGGCTGCAAGTATGTTTTTGTGTGCACGTTTCTCTAAGTGTTCATGATCAAAAATACAGCATGTTAATGAAAGATTAATCAGGATAGGCACTGAAGAAAGCTGTTTTCCAAATCTCACTTCTTTATCCCTTTTTTACATTCTGAGAGACAAAAACCTTTGTGTTGGTGAATTGCAGCTGCAACCGTAAACCCTGCTCCTCCAAATAGCCCAAGGGCTTTGTGGGCTAATTGAAGCATAAAGTTAATGTTTCTGGTATGAAAGACTCCCTTAGTTCTGAGTGAGCTTTTCCACCAGCATCCATGTGGATGCTCTAGATCTGTACCTTGGTTGAGTAAACATTTACTGGGCTTTTTCCCTTTGTAAGTGTGAATGTGCTTTCTTAGCTGATGCAGTAACAAAACCTAAGGAACTGACTCTTGTACAGAAGAAACCTCAGCACTATTATTCCTTGGAGATTCCCCTTGCACCTCTGCAAGGTGGAACCAGGTGTTGGGTGGTGGAGATTCAGTGTGAGAATGCTGGATTAACAGTCCTCTCTCCAAATCTGGTCTTCTTGTGAGTCATGCTGGTCACAAACAATCTCCTGGCAGTCCACAACCTCCATTCAGATTCTTCTAGACCACTTGATAACTTCCAGTTCTGTAGTAGAGTTTGCTACCTTGCTTTTTTAGCAGAACACTCCATTAAGGCATAGACAGTTATGACTTCCAGGACCTTCTTGCTCAAGTCTGTCTTTGATGTTGGATGTGATGATTCAGAGCTTATTCAGAATAGGCAAATCTTTGCTGTGGGATATGGAGCCAGCCAATGGAAGACTCAAGGATGGTGGAACTGCAGCAGCCAAGAAAGCTGTGCTTTGCTGTCTCCAAGATAAAAGAGCCATTGTATGAGTGCATAGCTACCTCTGCAAGATGAATGGTGCTGACACCAGAAGTAGGGTAAAGTGGGTCAGGCAGAACAGTTGCAGCATGTACAGAGAAGGTAAAATGGAATTTATCCGATGTAAACTGCTACATTAACTGCTTCCACCAGGGCCTTCACCTCCCCATGAGGATTCTTAAAGAAAGGGCTGCTCAGAGTGGAAGGGCTGATATTACTGCTGCTACGTGCTGGTAAAAGGACTCGGATCCTGTTGTGTAACTTTATAGGAGAAGGCCAGGGAGGCAGTCAGCTCTGAAGGCATCAATCTATCAGGTGGTGACTAGGGGGTGTTAAAAATGTATTAATTGTTACTGTCTTCTGGGGAAAGAGCAAGCGTTTCCTCTAGCCCTAAGAGCTGGCACGTGTAGCAATACTTCTGCATCTGCTGCCTCATTTCCAACCTCAGTGCCTAAAATCCATTGGAATGTTGTAATAATTATGGGTGTTTTCTTTTTCTTTCCTAAGTCTGTGAGGGTGATGAAGGGTTTGTCTGAATTTTCTGACACCTTACGACATGCTCAGGTCATGTTCAGAGCTTCATTCCAAAACCACAAGAGCTGTTTTAAGCAAAGGAGGGAAAACCATCTCTGTCCTGAAGCTCTCGTTGATTCTTCACATTTCCAACAGCTGGAACTCTAAAAAAAGAGCAGCATTATGACAGTCATCATGCATCACTAATGCTTTTGGCTGTTGCTTTGATGCTCTTCATTTCCCTTCTGCATCGCCCCTTACACAGAGATGAGCACCAGATGCAGGTCAATGTTGCAGTTGGAGTGGCAAAAAAAAGAAGCCACCATATAATTTTAATTGTAGTAAATGGAAATAGAGCCAGGGTAGGATTCACAGTCCTCTCTCCAAATCTGGTCTTGTCGTGACCTGGGTTGGTCATGTACAATCTCCTGGCAGTCCACGACCTCCATTCACCTTCATTCTAAACCACTTGAAAACCTGAGATATAAAAGGGGTAAGGATATGAAAGCATCTTTCCTTCCCGGCTTATCAAAAAGCGATGCAGCTTTAGTGCTCCTGTGGGTCTGTGCAGTTGCAATGCTCAGCTGGCAGATTTACTTGTAACTGCCTCTTCCTTCTCCTTTTTAAAAATTTTATCACTGGTGACATTTACACACATTGTTTATGCATGCAGGGCATTTTTACCTGCTTTTCAGAGCCCTGATGCTGGTAGTGAAGAGAGTATAAACCTCAGTAGTTTGCTAGTACATTAGTGTCATCGTGCATTACGGGGTAATTACTCTGAACCACTGCTCTGTACAGTAATGCAGTAATGACACTGTAAATCACTTGATAGAAATGAGGCCCTGAATCAGCATTTTTTATCAAGACTCTTCTTATTCCCTAGTCCCTTTTTAATTTGAGGGTGTTTTAAAATTAGTTCCATATATGAAGCACTGTTAACCATTATTTTTACACCTCCTCTCAGTCTAACAATCTGGATGTGATTACATGATTTTTATGCAACTGTTTACACCATCTGCATGCAAAATAATTGCAGGGGTAGCTGAGACCTCAAGTGGTGATCTCATAGACTGAAGATTAAACCTGTGTTTAAAAATGGACCAGTGGTTACTGACAATAGCAAGGAGTTTTATAGAAGAGGGAAATGCTGATACTCTTGCTTAGAAAGGGATTTTATGGAATTATCATGCATAGCAATAAATTAAATTTAGCGTTTGGACTCTAATTCTGCCAGGTACTAAAGCACAGCAAGTAAGTGAATTAAACTCATTGAATCCACACACTAACGCTATTTATAAAGCTTTATAGAATCAGATTTCAGTATATATGTGGAATCATATTGAACATGAAATATATACCTAGTGTTTAGACAGTCTGAGGAGCTCTCCTCTCATGTTGAGCTAGCTATTTGCAAAGGTTTCCTTCAAAGTTGAAGCTCAACGAGTAGTTGTCTTGGAGATTGATATGCTTGAAGTCAGTACATTTCCAAAACATGAATTGGCAAGCAAAGCCATGTATTGTTCCCCAGTTCTAGAAATAAATAGTAAAGGAGGGGTGGAAGGTTCTTACCCTTATGTGCAAATTTCTGTAAACAGGGGGTTATTTTGGCCCCAGTTAAGGCACTGTGGAGTTTTTTCTCCTGTTAATCACAGTTGTGAGCTTCAGCTTCCATAGACACAGAATCTCTCCCTACCCCTTGGGCAGCATGTCAGGGAGATAGACAGAGGTCTTTATGGATTTCCCCCCCCTTCTTCTCCAGCTCAGTGGTATGTTCCTTTGTGTTTTCTTCAGTCAAAAGCTAGATCCATTCTGCAATTTTTCTCTCTCCTTGCATTTGCAGCATCTGAAGGAGAACTGTTTCTGGATGTTAGAAAGACTGTGAAATCTTATTACCAGAAATAGAGCAGGGGTTTGGATGCACACATTCTGGGTCTTCTTATTTTTTCTTCCTCCCGGAGGTCCCAGAGAGGGTTGATGGCTTTGCAGATGATGATGTGGGAGGATCTGACAGCCGGTCTCATTACACAGGCCCAGTCCTCCTTCCCAGGTCCAGAGAAAGGCCAGCACTGGGCAATGAGGCCCAATGGCACTCCTTGCCTTAATTCAAGCTGACACACAGGGACACGCACCCCATGCTTGCCAGGCCCTAAGACTCCAGCTCTCTTGTCTCTCCCTCCCTTGGCCCGGTGCTACAAGAGAGGTGCGTGCTGTTGAGGAGCTCCTGCTCTGGACTGATGCTGACTAGGAACCTCCTCTTTCCAGGCTTTTTCATTTTCTGCTTTAGTACCCCTGGGAAAGCCATTCCCTCAGCTCAAGAGTCCTTTTGCTTCTCTCTGAGGTCCTGCTTTTATTCATCCTGCTGCTTCCTTTTAATGTTAGTTACATCTATATATTTCCAGCTTCTTACAGCAATATTATTGTCTCTGGACAAGAGAGTCCAGAGGAGTGGCCAATTCAGTGCCTTTGAACCAAGAGAGGACCATGCACTGGAGGCCTGTTGGGGTCCCCCATGCTCAGGAACCCTTATTCCGTTTTTCTCTGTGCAATGTTGGGGTACTATGTAGTGTTTCTCTCTTCCTTCTTAGTGTACAGGGTTTTCTTCTTTGCTTTTGCTCAGCCTTTTCTCCAAGTATGACTGCCTTCAGGGACTCCTCTTCATGACTGCCCACCAGAGGATTTCACTCCCTCTGCCATGAGGTATGAGTGCTCATTGCAGCAAGCCAGCAACACACACACACCATTTTCTCATCCCACATGGCAAGCACAGTATATGAGGCACACAGGTAAATGATGTTGCACCGGTTGGGTGA